GTCTGGGCTGCTAGGATTTCTGGGAATTATCAGTAGCCGGTTACATGAGCTTCAGGAGGTGACCTTGGACTCCCTACAGCCTGATCCACCTTTACTCTGTTCTCACGCTGGCTGTGGCTTACCATAACATTTTGAAAAGTTGAAGAGTGGTAAAAGAATCTTTCTTGTCTAGCATCTGTGCTGGCCTTCTAGTGGGAAGTAGTGATTTTCTCTCAGGGACAGACAGAAAACTCGCACTTAGTCAGACCTCACAAAAATTACAGTGCTCCAGACTCCCATTATCAATCCAAATACACAGAAGATTATTCCTCCATTATTTTTCTCACTTGCACCCCTATGACCATTTTCACCTGTGCTAATGCAGACAGCCAACAGTTCAAAACTCTCCAATAATTCAACAGGAAAGAGTTCAGAGAGCAACAAGAGCACTGAGAGATCTATGAAATATAACCTGCGAGGAAACCGCAAAGGAATTTTTGTTTTCTTAAATATAGAGAAGAGAAGACTGAACAGAGACATGATAACAGTCCTCAGAAATGTAAACGACTGCAGCAAAGAGGAAGGAAATAATCTCTTCTATCCCACGTGGAGACGATAAGAATAACAGGCTAAAATTGCAGCAGGGACGTTTTTTTATTAGATATTAGCAAAACCATTTCTAGCTGTTAGGATGGCATTACTGAAGCACTGGGATAGGCTGCCTTAGAAATCTCCACCAGCTGGAACGCTTTTGAAGCAGGCTGGAGCAACATCTGTGCTAACAGGATAGGTACCACTGACCCACTGTGCTCTTGGAGCAGGAGAAGGAATTGGTGACTCCTTAAAATCCCTTCTAGCCTTGCTTTCATATAATTTAATGATTCATTGGATAAGTACATGTTCATTTATCACCCTCTGGGAGAATTTTAGAAGTATTACTTGCATCTTTGTGTTCTTTGTCTCCAGAGCCTTCTTTAAGATTATCACTCTTCCAAACAACTAGGCTATGCTCTGTGCTTCTCTCCTATAAAAGGTGAAGCTAGTCCTGCCAACCAGGAGCTATAACCCTACCATTAAATGAAAGACAATGGGACTAATGCTCCTAAAGAAATGACAAAAAATGGGCCTTTGGCTACCTAGTCACTTGCCTTCACTTTTGCGGCGGCATGCACTACAGCATTGCCGAGTTTTGCTTTTCAAAGACAACCACCAGTGAAACATGGGAAATGGGACCTGGGACAAGAATGGTTAGCAGGGTCTGTCCCTGGCTGTCAAAGGCAGCCATACCAGGTAATCCTTCTGGTAAACTCAGCAAACTGCATCTCCAGTCCAGTTCGGTGTCTTGTCCTTGCTACTGTCGCTGGCTGGCTTCTCCAGAACATCAGCACTTAGGCACCCCAGAACCTTCCTCTAATTTCTAACCTAGCATTTTTTCTTGTCCAGGTTATTAATTAGTTCCTGTGCGAATGCTGTGTTTCCATCTCCCTACAGTTTTCCAGTTTAGTGGATTTGTAGTCGGCGTCAGTATCCCTCTTGGTTTTCATTCTGTAAGGCCAAACAGGTCAAGCTCTTTTCATATCCTCTCAGAGAATCAGGTGAACGCACCCACAACAGGTCGGTAGACCACTTCTTTCCTGATATAGTGAAGAGGTGGCCCAAAATTACAGGGTGGAGAAAGGGTGTCTCAAAAACCAAACCAAACCACTTCTATAACACAAAATCAAGGCCTGGGAAGAGTTAAGAAGTGAAGTTGCCCTCTTATTTGCTCTGTTGGAAGTCTAGTTGTCCTACAGAAACTCTTGCGGTCTTGGTTATGGTTCTCTCTCGAGTACCGCAACAAATCTGAGAGTGGTGGGGAAGAGCAATTCTTGCATCAGTCTTCACACAGCATGGCCTACTTTCTGCTGCCAGCAGTCTCTACTGGCTGGTGCTGAAGCCCAAGAATTGCAGCTCTTCTTCCCATGTCCCCTTTGCAGAGGCCAGCCCCACTGGTGGCACCAGCATTGCAACGCTGTGGTTACACATTCAGCAGCAATGCTGCTTGAACCGGCTTGTCCCCACCCTTCTCCACTCCCAGCTGCTTTTTCCATTTCCCGCCGGGCGCCCTCCCTACTGCCAGCGTGTTTGTGCAGTTATGTGCAGAACCAGGTCAGGGATCTGATCCCAGCCAAAAAAATAGCCTGCATATTAATTTTTTTTCCAGCTGGAAGAATTTCTTCTGTCTGGTTTCTTGGGTGGCTGCACAAGCACTTTGGCTGGCATGAGGGAGGGAAGAGGATGGGGGTGGAAATAAGCAACTTTGCCATGCGTGCTCCTTCCCAGTGAATGTGGCTGATCCACAGAGCCTCCCCTCCACTCTCAGCTAGCGTGGGCTGATCTTGCAAGGGAAATCACATACTTGTTCTTCGTCATGCCCCAGATGCTCCCCACCCTCCTTTCAAGGAACACTTCTCTTTCCCCATCCGTCTCTAGTATGCATTACCAGAAACACTCTAATCAATCAACATCCATTAGAACAGCCAGGTTTTTGAGGTCTCCCACTTCTCTTGTGTTATAAAAACAGACTGGAAGAGAGTTTGGGGGCTGTTGAGTCTAAAACTGGTGAGTGCTGCCACTCATGTCACACAATCCCTTTTAGAAGTTGGGCTGCATTTTCTATACCTTAATCTTTGGACCATTACAATGGTGCATTCTTGCATCATAATTAACAGTTACTAGAAAGATAGTTTGAAAAATGTAGTTCTTTGTAATCACATTTAATAACAAGTAAATCTTAGTTACAACTGTGTTCATTGAGGCACTCCTTCTTTCTTGGGCAGCTGTTACAATCCAAATTAAAATAAACCCACTCCCCACTCTTCTCACGTTTTTTTGGTTCTGAGCTTTGCTATTAATGACATAGACAAATGATTTCTAAGCCAAATTTTATTATTTGAAGTTTTCTCATTCTAATGTGTTCGGCTCCAGACATTTCAAGGGAGGCTAATACAGCCATTACTACTAATACGCTTTGTAGAAAGACTCTTTCATGTTATCCTGGGAGAGGGCATTGGGAACCTGGTTTGACTGAAGTGTCTACAAGGACACAAGGGTTACTGTAAGATTTGACTGATTTCTGTAGATTATTACTCTTTGCACGACCTCTCTGGAGAGTGTGTTTTAAAAAAAAAAAAAAAGAAAAACTAGTTTTAAAAAGGCACATTGTTATATATCATGCAGTCTTGTCTGAAATTTGTACACTGGTGGTATTTGTTTACCTACTAAATAAAATGATAGATACTTCATTCCTGTCTGACCACTAGAAGATATTTTGGAGTTGTTTTTATGCTTATGGCACATATAGGGACTCAAAAAACTTTGGCCAGGCTTCATGGGTCGTTTGCTGGAAGCCTGTTCACAAAGGACCTGCACAACATGAAGTCCTTTTAACTCCCAGGAGTGCCTCAACAAACACAGTGGACACCCACCCAGTGTAAATTATCTATTAATAAACAATATTTGTTTATAAACTGGTCAACCATAGCATCTTTTTATAGACTATACTAAAAAAAGTAAATTAAAACAGGTAATTATCTATATTAACATCTTTGCAATAGTATACTTACAGAGAGTTTTTAGTTAACATACAGATTCCCATCAGGAAAGCAAGTCAACAGCAGCAGCATATGGCTGCATTTTGGTTTAACTGCTCCTTACATTTAAAAAACAAAAAAAAAACCCAACAGGTGCTTAAGAGTAGCAATGAGTGGCCTCTTTGTCCCTCACCTCTATTTCCCTGAAGGATTCAAACAATCACTTCAGTGATAGCAAGGCACTGGGATCTTAATTTTCATTCAAAAGTAGGAATCATGAGGGTGGCTTTTGATTGTAGAATCAGCCTCATGGTTCCTGACGGGCTTTCAGCCTTAAGCCAAACTCTAAGGACGAAATGAGCTGTATCCTAGCCCTGCTTTCCTGCGTGACATTAGCCCGGTCCCTAAACGCATCTCGCTGCTTCAGCTCATACAGCTATAAGTTAAAAAAAAAAAAAGCTGTTTGAGAGGAATGCAGAGAGGCTAAATTCATCAGCACTTTGAAATGAACTTGCAGTACTAAGCACTGGGATTTTCATTGCAAAATGAGGCCTTTTGCTGGGAAGCATCAATGCAACAGGATTGTCTACTGACAGACTTGTCAGCACTTTTAGTCAGTCTGGAGTACTAAAACATGCATTTGGCTAAACTGTTTAAACAGAATATATTACTTACCATAAATTTTCTATGCTACTGTAACTACAGAAATTGTCCTTCAAAAGCCAAACATGCCTAGCTGAACTGCAGCTAGTACAGAGTAGCTCTGCTACTCTGTTTCTCTAAAATCTAGAGAATTACGCTGATTTTTCTGCCTGAGGATTCCACCTAAAAATAACAACATATTTTCCTACACTGTGACTTGATTCTGCCTGCATAGGTTTCCATTCCAGTGTCATTCGTAGTTGCTTTTAACTTCAGCAAAAAGCAAGATTTGATTTCAGCTAAGACCAGACATATCAAATTCAACTCAAAAAAATGTTGGGGAGGGGAAAGGAAGGGCATTTTGGCTGGGGAGAAAACTGAGAAGAAGGGACTATAAACAGAGTAAAGCAGAAATTTTATCTGAGCCGTAACAGTATCTTTGCTCCAGCAGCAGCAGCAGCTAGCAGGCACCACTTTCTGGACCTAATCTTCAACCATTAGTTTTTCATCCGTACGCTCTGCTGTGTGCTGGGGAGAGAGGGAGAGATCGGGATCGCTGCTGCGGCTGCACAGCCCATGCCAGGAACCTCTTGGTACACTGGCTGCATCACCACGTCCCAGCCCAAGTTAGCTCATGAGGCTCAGCTGGCCTCGGAGAGGTAGCACGGACACGTAATGAACACAACTGTCACGGAAAGTCTAAGAGGGACGCTTGTTCCACGGACTACCCGGACAATGAAGAATTGGCGTGCCACCCCCTTTCTCGCCCCCCAGCTGATGCCAAGGCGGGCGGGCGGCCGCCGACAGATGAATAGCAGGTCTGTTCCAGCAGCTGCACGTCCCGGTCCAGCGAAGAGAGAGTCTCCAAGAGCACAGAGTGCCCCGCTCCGTGCGCAGTCTGCAGAGGAAGAGACCTGGGGGCAAAAGGATGGCCTCGGAAGGGGAGAGCATCAATCTTCAAGTGAGTCCATCTCAGGGAAATGCCCGTGGGAGGGAGAAGTGGGAGGGAAGATCCCTGGTTTGGGAGAAATATCCACCGCTCCTATCATTTGCTCCTCAGCTTTGGCAGCCGATTTCACTTGAAAATTCAGTGCTGCTTTTTTCCTCTGTTCTCCTTTGAAGAAAAGCTAGCGGCAGGATCTCTGCCCTGTTCTGCCAAGAGCTGTTATGAGCCTTTTTCCAAAAGAGTGAGGGTAAGAAGAGGGGTATTGCTAAAAAGAGCTGCTTTTTGGGGGAAGGAGGGGCAGCAGGGGCAGAAGTTAGCCTTCAGCTCTCAGAACGAGGCAGCACATACTTTACAAGCTGCAAAAATCTGAGCTGTTCCTCATCTCACAAAGCCTTTCTCTGTTCGGCAGAAAATGCTCCCAATCTGGAGAGGAGGAAAAGAAATAAATACAGCAAATGCTGAGGGAATGCAGAGGCCAGGGTTTCCTATGTAGGGTTTATAGAGAAACAAAACTTCTTGGTGAAGCTCTTTCAGTTCTCTGTGTTCCTCTTCTGAGTGTTTGTGTTTTTTAAGAAGGGTGTTTCTTGCGCTCAGTGTGTGTTCTAGGAAAGGGCAACTACCCAAGGGTTTGGAAAAAGAAACTAATAGAGATGAAATGGAATCAAAACCCCAGATCACAAACACCCGTCAAACTTCAGAAGTTCAAGTCTAGATCTGCACTTCAGACAACTCTGGAGAAGGGGAGAATATAAAGCATTGCCCCGGGGCGCAGCTTCCAGCCCTGGGAGGGCTGGCAACAGGGTCCAAATTTTGCAGCTGATTTTTCTGTCTGTAATGGTCTCAACCATCCTCAGACTTGAAAATGGGGAAGTCCATCTGGGGTCTCAATTTTTATGCCTTTGGCCTTGGCCTATGTCAAAGAAACTAAAATGGAAAGATTTGTGCCCTTGGAAATAATCAGGACAATTATGCTTAACTAGAAGGAAGGACCGAGACTCCCTGATCCTGCAGAACATAACTCTGCTGAGATACGAGGTGCAGAGCAGTTTTTTAAGACCTGGGAGCAGTTATGCTCAGATAAGAGAAACAATAACTGAGGAAGATACACAGGTAGCTGTGACAGTCGGTGAAAATGTACTCTATTTAGGGCTGAGGAAGAGAGATGTTAGGCTTTCCTAGAACTAGATAATAAGGAGAAGAATATAGAAATCAGTAAGCCAGGAATTGGGGGCAAAGGGCAAAGTGAACAAGAAAATTATGCTAAATAAAAAGTCAGATTAACTCCTTGTGTATTAAATCTTTCCAGCCAATGGAAAGTTTCGGGTCTATAGTGGATTTGAAGCCCAGGTTTCATAGAAGGAAAAAAATCAGCTTCACCGATTAAAATGCTCATAAACTTCTGAAAAATCTGGATTTTAGATTTTTCCCTTTCAACCCAAGAGAAAGAGCCAAAAGTGATCCTCAGCATCTTCAGCCTTTACGATACTCAAATAAATAAGCCAAGAAAGTCAAAGGTTCCTTGAATTACTGTCCTAGTTTCAGCTGTGATAAAGTTAATTTTCTTCCTAGTAGCTGGTACAGTGCTGTGTTTTGGATTTAGTATGACAATAATGTGATAACACACTGATGCTTTAGTTGTTGTTAAGCAGTGTTTATACCAAGTCAAGGTCTTCTCAGCTTCCCATGCTCTGCCAGAGAGGAGGAGCACAGGGAGCTGGGAGGGGGCACAGCCAGGACAGCTGACCCAAACTGGCCAAAGGGATATTCCATACCATGTGACGTCATGCTCAGTATATAAACTGGGGGGAGCTGGCTGGGGGCAGCGATCGCTGCTCAGGGACTGACTGGGCATCGGTCAGCAGGTGGTGAGCGGTTGCATCACTTGTTTTTCCTGGGTTTTGTTCCTCTCTCTCTCTTTTGTTTTTTTCCTTTTCATTACAATTTTTTAAATATTACTACTTTTATTTTATTTTATTTTAGTTCAGTTATTAAACTGGTTTTGTCTCAACCCATGAGTTTTATTACTTTCCCTCTTCCAATTCTCTCTCCCATCCCACCATAGAGGGGGAGGGTGAGCGAGCAGCTGTGTGGTGCTTAGTTGCCCACTGGGGTTAAACCATGACAGTTACAAAATTGAAAAGAGCATACCTATCTGTTTCTAGAGCAGAAAGGTGTGGAGTGTTTCTATCCACCTCTACACAGGTTGCCACAAGAAAAATCATGCTACTGAGATTTTCTTTGCGACACCTTACAGGGATTTCATGAAGCCACCAGACAGTACAAAATATAGATGAATGCACACAGATTCCAGCATGCTTATGAACAGGAAATATACAGTGCTGGCAGGGGAGGGAAAG